CCCATTTAAGTAAGGCAGAATTAATTAGGCAAATATGTGAAATTAATTAGCACCATAAAATGTACGCGTGCTGTGGTGTTGTGTGCTTGCAGCATATTCAAATTACATGTATCTCAAAAACTTCGCAATTCCATAAAATTCAATACCTATTGTAGCTAAAAATAAACTCCAGCCTAGTGGCAAAAGCGGTCGGAGGTTAGGGCACACACACATGTCGGAAAAATAAACACCTACTCATTAATAACGACGACGACGACAGACATAACTTTATTTCCGGTCTATTATTATTATCGACATCATCATCGTCATTGCCATGAAAGCCATCCTTGTATCAACAATAATTGAAATGCGTGTGCCTATGTGTGGTTGTCTGTGTGTGTATGTTTGTTTGCTTGCTTGTACACAATATTACAATTTAATTAAGACCGCTCGCGCTCGTACACCATTGTCACATACCTACCACACAATTATTTCAATTCAATTTAATTATGCAGCAATTGAATATTTTACGCATTCTATTCTATTTTTGTGAATATGTATGTATGACGGTGTGTGTGTGTGGTTCTGTTTGATGTGGCTCGGACTGTATATATCCAAACATACACACACACACTCTTTTATTATAAATAAAGTGATTTTATTGTTATTATTTTCGTTGGCAAAACATGCCTGGAATTTCAAACATCTGGCTGGAATTTCAAACGTGGTGTTATTGTTTTGAAAATATGTTGTGTTATATGTAGCTGTGGGTGCAGGTATCACATCTCGGAAGGTAGCAAAATACCACTTTAAAAAATTTGGTCTTTATGGATACTTGACAAAAAATAATTTTGAAATAAGTCATGATTTTAGGGAAATATTTCTCTCAATAAATCCATGCCTATGGGGCCCTTGAAAAATTGTTTTTAAAGAATACATGCATATTGGACTCGTGACAAAAATTATTTTTAAGTTCAGGGTTATTGGATTCTTCATAAAATCCACCTTGCTTAAGGTCCTTGAAAATCGTTGTTTTTTATCACGCTGATTGGATTCCTGGAAAACAAATGTTCATAAGGCATGGAGGAGGCCTGGATTTTTTAAATAATTTTTCCTAAAGTCCTTATGAGGCCTTGGTTTTTTACATAATTGTTGCTCCCTTTGAGATGTGGAGTTTTTAAATAGTTTTTTTTTTTTTTTTTTTTTTTTTTCACAAGTCCCTATGAGGCCTGGGTTTTTTAAATAATTTTTTCCAAGGTCGATATGCGGCCTGTACATTTTTGAATACATTTTCCAAGGTGCCTATGAGGCGTGGATTTTTTAAATAATTTTTTTCATGGTCCCTATGAGGCGTAGGTTTTTATAAATAACTTTTTCCAAATTTCCATAAGGCGTGGATGTTCTCGTGTTCATGTAAATAGTTCATTTTTCAAAAGACCCTATAAGACCTGTGATTTTTAAATAATGTTTATACCCTACACAACTATGTTGTCAGGGTATCATAGCATTGTGCAGCCCCAAGAGTTTGTAACGCCGCGAAATATTGGTCCTAGACACACCTTTAAGTATACCGATCGTCATATCTCGACTTGCTGAGTTGATCTAGACATGTGTCCGTCCGTCCGTCTGTCTGTCCATTATAATTTTTAAACACGATACAGGCCACAGTTATGGACCAATCTTCATGAAATTTTGCATGTAGGATACATATTTGGCCAATGAAGACCCCTATTTTTTTGGAAAAGAGGCCACAATTATGTCCCAAAGGCGTTGATACCATCAGCTTGGTCTTCTCTCCGTTTACTGCCAGACCCACTTTGGCAGACTCCTTCTCAATTTGTTCAAAGGTGGCTGCTACCGCTCTCAGTGTCGATGTCATCGGCGTAGGCGAGTAACATGTGTAGTTTTGCCTCTCGTAAGACCTTTTCCAGCAGGATGTTAAAAAGGTCACACGACAAACTGTCACCTTGTCTGAATCCTCGTTCTGTATTAAAGGGCTCCGAGAAGTCCTTCCCGACTTTAACTGCTGATCTTGTGACAGTTAAAGTTATTCTGCATAGCCGAATTAATTTTGAAGGAATGCCAAAATTAACGAATAGGGCTGTCGAATGCGGCTTTATAGTCGACAAATGGGTGGAATGTGTCGATGTGGCGCAGAGTGAAAATGGTGGCCAATGGGGGATTTGCCAGGTCTGAAGCCACATTGGTATGGTCCAATAATGTCATTGACCATTGGCTTAAGTCGTTCACACAGTACGCTGGATAGCACTTGGGAAGAAGACTTATTCCTCTATAGTTGGCACATATCGTCTTGCCTCCTTTTTTGTGCACGGGACACAGGATGCTGAGGTTCCAATCATTGGGCATGCATTCTTCAAGCCAACTAGTACTAATCAGCTGGTGCATGCTCCTTACCAGCATCTGACCAGCAGTCTTGAATAGTTCGTCTTGTAACCCATCGGCACCTGCTACTTTATTATTCTTCAACCGATTGATTGCTCTATACCGTCATCTATTATTGGTTCAGGGGTATCCACCGCACTGCTACTATTTGACACCAGACATTTTTCAAAATGCTCCTTCCAGATCCTCAGCACGCTGTCTGTATCTGTCACCAGGTTTCCTTCTTTATCTCAACAGGAGGATGTGCCTGCACCAAATCCTTCGGTTTGGTGTTTTACCCGTTGGTATAATTTTCGGACTTCATTCTGACTCCTGTACATCTAGATTTGCTCACGCTCACGTCTTTCTTGTTCTTTCATCTGTTTTTTGAAAATACGTTTCTCCTCTTTCCTTTTCTTCCGATAGTTCTTCATCGCATTACGTGTTGCTACTGTCCGCAGGGTTGCCCTATACGCTGCATTTTTTATATCAGTAGCATTACGACACTCCTAATCGTACCACGGATTTCTTGATGGTGGCCTTTGGTACCCAAGTGTTGCTTTTGCTGCAGTTTGTAGGAAGTGGGCAATTTATTGCCATAGTGCTTCTATATTATTCTGGGGACTAGGGGTGCTTTCGTTAAGCAGTTGGGTAAGTTGAGCGGAGTAGGCTTCTGCTATCTGTTGTGTTTGCAGCTTTTCAACGTCAATTTTCCGTGTTACATTAGATCGCACCTTTGCTGCTATATGAAGACGAGTGTGTACCTTGGCTACCACAAGGTAATGGTCCGAATCGATATTCACTCCCCGGATCGATCGCACGTCTAAAACACTGGATGAATGCCTTCTGTCTATCACAACATGATCGATTTGATTTCTCGTTGTTCGATCGGGAGAAATCCAAGTAGCCTTGTGTATATCGAGATGCTTAAATCTGGTGCTGCTAACAACCATGTTTTTTGCTGCCTCGAAGTCAATCAACCTCATGCCGTTGTTTGATGTTTCTTCATGAAGGCTGAATTTTCCGACGGTGCGGCCAAAGATATTTTCCCTTCCGATTTTTGCATTAAAATCACCTAGCAGAATTTTAGTGTCATGGCCAGGGCAACGATCATATGCTGTTTCTAGGCGCTCATAAAATATGTCTTTGGTCTCTTCATTTTTTCCTCCGTCGGAGCATGGGCGCACATGAGATTGGTGTAGAAGAACTTCTCTTTTATACGGATTATAGCAATTCGCTCATCTACTGGAGTGAATCTGGAGACGAGGTCTTTTATTCTCATATTAAACATAAATCCGCAACCAAATTCATGTCTCGTTTCATGGCAGCTATAATACAGGGCGTAATCATCTGATTTACTTACGCCAGTGCCTTTCCATCGCATGTCCTGTAAAGCAATAATATCGGCTTTGTATTTCTCGAGTACATCTGCGAAAGCGAACACTGCGCCTGTTCTGTACAACGTGCGCACATTCCAAGTGCAGATTCGCTGATCGTGGTTCTTTATATGTTTGCGGGGGTCTTCAATATTAGGTGGGTTTGCTTTTCTTTTTCTTTGCTTTTTCATAGTAGGTTGGGTTCTCCGAGAGTGGTCAATTATAGTTCTTTTTATAGTTCTTATGGGTGAACTCGCGGCACATATGAGCTCACTATTTCATCGGGTGATGAAAATAGCTCCCCAGGTGGCACCGCGGGGAGGTCAGTGTCCACAATTGAGATGAAAGAGGGACCAAGAAAAGCCTGGACTTCACCATGTTAAAGCCAATCAGAGCCGTTGCTTGGTATCTATCATCCCCTACGGATGTGGCAGTTACACATCAATATGTACAGGTGCTTACGTATTCAGATACTATTTTGTAACCTATTACCACGCTAGAGAGGGGAAATATAGGGCTTCATTCGGTCATTTGAACAAAATATTAGTGTATTCATGGATTTTTGGATTATGCGAAAAATATTAGGTTATTTTTGAAAAAATATATTTTGCTGGTGAAAAATTAAGATTCTGGGGTGTATTAAAAAAATTCAAAAAAATTTGGGTTAATCGAAAACATGTGCTCCAAAAATTTAAGAATTTTTGTTTTTTTGTAATTTTCCTTTTTTTAAGGTTAACTATTTAAATTAAATTATCTTTTAATCGTTTTGAATAATCTAAGAGCTTATGTAAATGTTATTTGTTTTATGTGTCCCCTTGCTTTTTTTCGTTTTGTTTGTTATGTGCGTATTCGCTTTCCGTTTCCTGTTGCATTAAACATTATTTACGTTTTTTCTTTTTGTTTATTTTTTATTTATTTATTTTTGTTTATTCGCCTACCGTTTTCCTACTTTATTTTTATTTTATTTTATTTTTTTTTTTTTGTAAAGAAAATATTTATGCTTTTCCAGCTGTAGATATTCTCAACCAAAAAAAATAAATGCCATGCTTTAAAGCAAAAATAATAATTAAACAAAAATGTTAAATAAAAAGTTTTTTTAAACAAATGTTTAGTTTGGCTTATTGTTAAATAGCTGAGGATGCAAAATATCCTACCGTTTTTTTTTTTGTTCGATTTTGTTTAAAACAAAAATTTTGCAAATACAAACCTACTGTGATACAATCAAAACGTTCATTGTGTTGTTATTTGTTGTAACCCTTACAGGTTTAAAGAACAGGAGGCCTCCATCCTGATTGACAGATCGTACGTATCTTTCTCTCTCTATCTCTCTATATCTACCTATCTCTATCTATATTTAATTTTGTGAATGTATTCAACTAAATCATTACAAAAAAACAACATACATATAAATATTTTCTGTAGACAAAACAAAATAAATATTAATTAAATTAAAAATATAAGTATATTAAAAAAATTCGCCAACAACAAAAAAATTGAAAATGCTTTCTCTCTGCTCCCCCCGGTGTTTGTGTGTTGGTAGTGGTGGTGGGGGCAAACAAAATCGAAAAATACTACTACGCTTTATTTTTGTTTGTTTCACAAAATTGTTGTGTTGTTGTTGTTTTTTGTTTTATTTTTATATTGTGTGAGGCTAAAATTAAATACGCTTATTCATAGGCATTCCAAAACTGCACACCTTCAAAAACGAAAATCAAAACAACAACATCTATACTTATACAAATATAATTAAAAAATATTTTATTTTTGTTATCCCAAAACGAATGCAAAAGAATGCTATGATTGCGATTTCCAATTTTTTTGTTTTTGTATTTATTTTTTCAAAGCACTTTATTTTTTCATTTCACCACTGCAAATATTCAAATAATTACAATAATCATAAAAATGGAATTTTTTTTTTAATAAAAATGTATTTTCATTCCCATATGAAAATTAGAAAATAAGCATTCTGGTTGTTATTTTTGTTTTCAAACATGGCAAATACGCGTAAATATTTTTTTTTTAATTTTGGTGTTGAAATTCAAAATTGTAGTTTAAATTTTAGCACACTTTTTGTGTACATTTTCTTTTGGATTTATTATCTAAACAATTTGATAAAATATTTTAAATGTATCTTGAATTTAATTTGTGATGTTATTAGTCTTTCACCTTTAGAATAATTTCAATTGGCGTCTAAAGGAAATTTATAGTTTTGAAAAAAAAAATGTAGATAAAGAAATTTGTATGGAATTCAAGTGCAATAACACTGAGTTCGGTGCGGTCGGATATGTTATGGCATCTAAAAAGTTATTTAAAAAATATTTGTTTAAAAAATTCACAGAAAACTGCATATGTCAGAAAAAGTACCAACTAGTACCAAATTTCATGATTCAAGCTCTAAAGTGATCCTTAATCCAAGTTTTAGAATTCCAAGTCTATCGGTTCACCTACAATTCAATTTAGTACAGAGTAGTATGAATTTCTAAAACCTCCTTCTTACCCCAAACCTACACCCCCATAATTATCGTAAGTTCAAGTTTCAGGATCCCAACTCTATCGATTCACACACAATTCAAATTGTACCAAATTTTGTACACAGTAGTACCAATTTCCAAAACATTCTACATACCCCAATTCTACACGTCCACAGTGATCCTAAATTAAAATTTCAGGATTCCAACTCTATCGGTTCACCCACAATTCAAATTGTACCAAATTTAGTACACAGTAGTACGAATTTCTAAAACCTCCTTCTTACCACAAACCTATAGTGATCCGAAATCCAAGTTTCCGGATTCTAACTCTATCGGCGCACCCTCAATGGTACCAAATTTAGTACACAATAGTACGAATTTCCAAAACTTCCTACATACCCCAATCCTACACCTCCACAGTGATCCTAAATCAAAATTTAAACTCTATCGCTTCACCCACAATTCAAATTCTACCAAATTTAGTAAACATTAGTACAAATTTCATAAACTTCCTGCATATTTCAATCTTACATCTCAACAGTGATCCTAACTCCAAATTTCATGATTCTAGCTCTATTCGTTCACCTAAAATGCAAATTGTACCAAATGTTGTACCATTTAGTACTATTAAGTATTAATTTCTTAAACTGAATCCTGACCCCAATCACACACCCCTACAGTGAACCTGACTCCAAATTTCATTGTTCCCGCTCTATCGGTTCATCCAAATTCAAACTGTACCGATTATAGTACGATTTAGTACTTTTCGTACAAATAAGTAAGAAATTTCCAAAACTACGTTCATATTCCAAATTCCAGGATTCCAGCTCGATTTGTATCTCCAAATTAAAATTGTACCAAATATAGTACCATATAGTACTTTCGTACACGCTTTCAAAACCATCAGCTTAAATAGACCCTACATCTCAACCATTATTCGTATTCCAAATTTCAAGTTTTTAGCTCTATCCATTCACATGCTACGAAATTGTACCAAATATAGTACATATTAGTACTTTTGGCGTACTTGTAGTTGGAATGTCCAAAAAACCCCCATTTGCTATATCTATTCTACACTCCATCCGTAACCCTTATTTAAAATGTAAGAGTTCTAGCTCTACTGGTTCGACAAATACAAATTGTATCACATTTAGTAGTTTGTAGTACTTGTCATACCGTTCTAGAACGAATTTCCAAAAACCCAGTCACCTTTGGACCAAAAGTGACCCTCACCCAAAATTTCAAGATTGTAGCTTCTGCCGTTTCGTCTGGGCGTTGATGAATCGTTAAATCAGTCAGTCAGTCAATCAATTTACTCTTTTATTAGTATAGATAGATATTTTCAAGGGCTCACCAGTGCGTATAAGTAACGACAACACTTATACGACATGAACTAAAATTTGATTTATTTTTAATAATGTCTTTCTTTGCCATAAATCCAGCCAATCTGATGGCTGATAATATATATTTGACTTCATTAAAGCTTCAGATTTTACATAAGTTTTATTTTAAAACCTAACCCCCCCCCCCCCCTTTTTATACCCTACACAACTATGTTGTAAGGGTATTATAGCTTTGTGCAGCCCCAAGAGTTTGCAACGCCGCGAAATATTTGTCCTAGGCCCACCTTTAAGAATACCGATCATCATATCTCGACTAGCTGATTCGAACTAGACATGTGTGTCCGTCCGTCTGTCCATTATAATTTGTAAACAAGATACAGGTCGCAGTTATGGACCAATCGTCACGAAATTTTGCATGCATGATGGGTTCTAACCATTGGTTAAAATTTAGGGGATCAAATGGACCAAAAACTTTATTTTTGTCTGATTTTCTGGAGAAGGGTATCGGGCCAAAGAATAAGCATGCCTGTTTTGATAAAGATCGGTCAATATTTAATGGGTCAAATGGGCCCTGACTTTTGTGTGAAAAATTACAAAATTGGTAGTCTATAGCGTATAGATTTACACCTGAAGGATATAGACCCGAGAAGTTGATAGTATATCCATGAGGAGTGGTTAGCCTTTAAATTGATACCAATTATATTGTCGTATGTGCTCGGATGTGGGAGTTACACGTAAATATTTACGGGTGTTAACGTATTCATATAATATTTAGTAACCCACTACCCCACTATAGGGCGAAAATATTGCGCTGATCGCTTTGAAATATACCATGAGGATCCAGGTATGGTCAAGGACAACGTCTATAGTTTTCGATGATGATCAGATAAAAATATTGGGATGAAGTGGACCGAAAACTTATTGTTTTGTGTTTTTTCGAGTCGATCACAACACAAGCCACGGTGAAGGGAATCTGGCACGTAATTAGAATGGGAATCTGGCACGTAATTAGTAATATTTGGTGGCCTATAGACAAGAGGGTGCAAATTATGCGAAATATTGCCCAAGCTCAGAATATAGAAACACATCAACTTATATTTTCGTGGAAGTTGTGTAGGGTACCATATGGTCGGGCCTGTCCGACTATACTGCTCCGCTCACTGGTTTAGAAAATACTTTATTATTGAAATATATTTATCGTGTGTCATAGAAAGCATTTACTTCAGTTTTTTAATACTATTTTCGAAAACTCTTCTACATTAAACATCTCACGAATTTATATGTATGTGGCGAACCGTATAGTTAAAGCTTCTTGAGGTTAGTTAAACCGTACATTTAAAGCCTCTTCCAATCTTTGAGGGGGGAATTGTCGATCTCCCTTAACGATTTTTTAAGCGATATAGAAAAACTATAAACTTCTATGCCAAAACAGGGACAAAAAACATTATCGTTAAAACAATATTGGCATTCAATGCGTATGAGTAACGACAGCATGTATACGTTACCACTCCCAAATTCAATTCATTGATAATCCCACTGAAATAAGTAAATGAGTAACGTTTTAAAGATTTACTCTCATTCATGATCAAATCGTTCGCCCTAAAAAAAATTTTATTTGATTTGAATTTTACGGATGTCTTTAATCTGGCGAGTCATTATTATGACCAATGGAGATCCTTAATTTAAATACATATTTAAACTTTTTAGATATTTTTACAGGGTGTTTCTATTTAATATCTCAATTCTCCGTCCATTAGATTAGCTCTCCAATTTTTCTCAAAATGTCAACTCTAAAGTGAAAGGCAACATTTAAATTTATTTTTCTAATAAACATTCAATTTAAATTACCTTATTATAATTTTTACAATTTCCTTATATTTTATATTTCTCTGTGTATGTATATATTTTCTTTATTACCTCGCCAATTCTTTAATTATTTTTTTGTTTTTCTCAAAACACAAAAAAACTATTAATTTCCCTTAACAATTTCATTTCTCGCCTTTACTAATACTATCAACGGATTGTTAATAATGAGTTCATGTTTACGTCAATTTTATTTGTTGTTGATATTATTTTTTGTTATTGTTGTTGTTGTCTTGTTATATAGTTTTTATTAATTTTTCATATTACCCCCCGAATTTACAAACATATATTACCGCATTATATCTTATATACAAAACAAATATTTCTATATAAAAAATTATAAATAATTTGCTAATAATAAAATTTATTATAAATAAATTTTTTTACTACGAAGTACTTCTCTTTCAATAGAATTTTATTGTGTAAATTATTTGTTTCTTAGAGAATATAATGTTTATATTTAAAAAATATATATTTTAATGAAATTATTATTTTTATAATTATTGGAAGTACACTGTGACGTATACGTTGCATCAACAATTATACGTCACATTGCTTCGGATACAAATGTGTTATTCATTTATATTTTTTGTATTATAATATTGAAAAACTATTTTGAATTGGT